GATTTGGGCTTGAGAGGCGCTTAGAAAATGGCTCCTAAAGTCCTAGAAAGATGGTTATAGAAATACCAAGAGAGGAGGAATGCTTGTTATTCTTGGTGATAGGAATCACTAAGAATAGTGTATTGGTCTGTTTCAGAAAGATAGTAGTAATTAGACATGAACAAAAGAGCATGTGGATATTCTTGAAAGTTGTGTGCAAATTGAATTACTGTAAATGTAATCATAATTTAAAGGCATTAGAAAAGCATTATAACAAAACCTGCCAGAAGATGAGAATTATTTTTCATAAAGTGAATGTATTTCTTTCTCTCCAGTTCAATTTTTAAACCTAGGTTTTTGTATATTGATTTAACTTAAATTGAGACCTCTGCTGTTCAGGGGATAAAGCTCTGGACATTCTACATCCTTATACTTCAGTTCTTGCCTCTTAAATAGGTAAACTCTCCTATTTCTTTCTACTTTTCTCCTAAAAATAATGAGAAGATAAGCAAGTTAATGGAATCTAAGACTGTTTGAGCTGGGAGGAGCTTAGAGATCATCTAATGCAGGTCACTTATTGGACTGAAACTAAGACCTAAAGAGGTTATGTCATTCTTCAGGGTCCCCACTAATAAAAGAGGAGGCGAATTATTATGAATAGGGCAAACATAACTCAAAGAAGGGATTCTTTTTATTAGAAAATATGAGAAAGGAAACAGACCTGACTGACATGGCCCATTTCTTTCATTCTCTATGGTTTTTTTTGTTTGTTTTTTGTTTTTGAGGTGGAGTCTTGCTCTTGTTGCCCAGACTGGGGTGCAATGGCACGATCTCGGCTCACTGCACCCCCCGCCTTCCCGTTTCAAGCGATTCTCCTGCCTCAGTCTCACGAGTAGCTGGGATTATAGGCATGTGCTACCACGCCTGGCTAATTTTGTATTTTTAGTAGAGACAGAGTTTCTCCATGTTGGTCAGGCTGGTCTTGAACTCCTGATCTCAGGTGATCTTCCCGCCTCGGCCTCCCAAAGTGCTGGGATTACAGGCATGAGCCACCGCACCTGACCTTCTATATTTTTTATTGCTTAAAATATGATGAGATGCCTGGACATTCAGCTGCCATCTTGTGATGTAAAGTGCTGTGTTAACTCACTGAAGAATTGTACAAAACAACATGGATGAATCTCATAATAAGGAGTGAAAGAGACATGAAACAAGAGTGCATCCTATATGATTCAATTTATATGAAATTTTAAAAGAGGCAGGACCAATCAATCTACGGTGACAGTAAGCCCTATCATGGTCACCCTTATGGAAGGGTAACGACTGGAAGGGAGCCCAAAGGGGCTTTTAGAGCGCTAGCGATGCTCTGTTTTTTATCTGGGTGCTAGTTGCATGATTTTGTTCACTTTGTGAAAATTCTTTAAGCTGGCTACTTAAGAGTTGTGTTCCTTCTGTATCTACATTACATTTTAATAAAAGGTTCACATTTAAAAATGTAAACTATTTACAAGCAGAAGATGAGGCTTTGGGTAAAGTCCCATGGAATAGGTGGACTTAGAGTCATTAGAGAGAATAATTTTTAATTCCAATTTCTACACTGCCTCTAGGCTCTAAAGGCCATTTTCTTTTCTTTATGACACTTCAAGGTTGTTCCCTAGATTTGTTTTTGCCATCTCCAAATTAAAAATAGAGTCTAGAAAAACAGGATAGAGAATGCAGGAGTACAGCCGAATACACAAAGGCATTTGGCATAAACCATGGTATTTCATATTGGTGGGATGGGAGAGAGGAATGGATTTTTCAATAACCAATTTTGAGACAACTGGGTAGCCATTTGGGAAAAAATTAAATTGGATCCCTGTCTTCCTCCTTATATGGAAGTTAATTTTATATTGATTAAAATATACATGTACAAAATGAAACCATAAAATATTAAAAGAAAATATAGAAGTATATATTTTTAAACCATGGAATATAATGTAAGCCTGACTGAAAATTCAGGAGCTATGTAAGAAAAGATTGACAAATTTTAAAAGTTCTACATGGTTAAAAATAGTATCATAAAGCCAAAAGATGAACTGGGAAAGATATTTGCAACACATGAGAAGGGGCTAATTTCCTTTATAAAGAGTTCATACAGTCAACAAAAAGTCAAAAAAGATCAGCAATCCAAAGAAAAAATGAGCAAAGAACATGAGCTGTTGTTTCAAACAGAATAACTAAATAACTTACTAACACGTGCAAAGACTTATTGCAACATGGAAACCTATGAACATAGGAAATGAATGATGCCAGGTCTTATTCATAATAGAGGAATACAAATTCAATTGCAAATACAATATGTAGTCATTTTTCACATATCAGATAAAAAACATTTGCTCATACATTGCATTCTGAGTACAGAGTAGCAAGAAGTCTCATATATTGTTGAATGGGCAGTATCAGAAAGAATTTAAGATGTATATACCCTTTGACTTACTGGTTCCCTTCTAGGACTTTATTCTGTAGATACACCCACATCTACATTCATTACAACATTGTTTATGGCAGCAAAAAATTGGAAACAATGGCAGGTACCACCAAAAAGGGACTGGTTGAATAAATGAAAGCATAGCTATGCAGTGGAATGCTATGCAGCTGGTAGAAAGAAGGGGCAGATTGATACGTTCTATACGAAAAAATCTCCGAGATACACCGTTAAATGAAAAAAAAGTGGCACATGTGCCACGTTTTAAAAAGGGAAGGAGCATATACACAGATGGTTGTATACACAGAGAATATTTCTTGAAGGATATATAAGAAAATGGTTTCCTCAGAGGTATAGAACTTTGGGGAAGGGTAGGGATGAGAGGGAAACTTGCTTGTCATTGTTTACTGTTTCGTATTGAGAATGTTTTCCCCAGGTGAATGAATGTTATACTCATTTAGGAAAACAGACAAAACTAATTAAACCAAACCATTTCTATATGGTGATTATTAACGGAGATGCCATTGGCATTTTAGATGCATTTTGGGACTGTTCCCCACATTCATGACATTACATTCCTTTCCCTTTGCACTAAGTGCCAGTAGCACTTCCCTAGACACTGATAAACAAAAAGTGCTCCTCTAGATTTCTGAAAAGGCCGGGGTGTGGATTGGGTTGGTGGTGGTGTTTGAGTCTAAAAGAATGTAACTTCTCTTAGGGTTTCCTAATTTCCAGGTTATGTTGGTCTGGCAGGGTCTTGACTGACGTGGACGGTTATGGACCTTTACTTAGCGAAAAACTTGAATGAACTTCCTTTCTAGAACTCACGGTTTTCATTCAGTGAGACTAGACTTTGCCCTGGAGCAGTGACTGGTCAGGGAGCTGTATCTAAGTGGGAGCTGCACCTGTGTGGGCAAAAGTGTGGCGCTCAGATTTTTGTAACAATGGTCAAGATTTCAGGAAGCAGGATTTTGGTTCCTTTGCTTTAAAAAGCATGGAGAATGGCCGAATGTGGTGGCTCACACCTGTAATCCCAGCACTTTGAGAGGCTGAGGTGGGCAGATCACCTGAGGCCAGGAGTTTGAGACCAGCCTAGTCGACACGGCAAAACTCCGTGTCTACTAAAAATACAAAGCTGAGCATGGTGACACTTGCCTATAGTCCCAGCTACTTGGGAGGCTGTGGCACGAGAATCACTTGAGCCCAGGAGGCAGAGGTTGCAGCAAGCCGGAATCACACCACTGCACTCCAGCCTGGGCAACAGAGCGAGACTCCATCTCAAAAAAAAAAAATTAAAAAAAGCATAGAGGATTGGTTGTATCCTAATAGCACTGTTCCATTTTTCTGTGGTGTGCTTTTTAGCTTTTTTCCTAACAAAAAAATCTTACCACATGATTCTCTGCCAACAGATTTTCCTGAGCTGGAAGGAACAGATGTTTCTGTTGGAAATGGGCATCTGTTTCTCCCCTCACTGTGGCGTGTGCTTCCTATGAGCCCAGGCCCATGTAACAGTGAATTATCATTAGAAGGCTCTCTTGTAAGATTCACAGGGAAGAATCTGTAAGACCCTAGTCTTCCAGGAGGTCAGAAGGAGAGCAGAATGGAGGGTGAGCTTCAGAGCACAGAGCAATGCAAGGGGAAACAGTGCTGCTGTCCTGTCTGCTTGGCAGTGACCAGCAGCTGCATCTGGCCCTCATCAAACAGGAGGCGAGTTACTGAGACAGTAGAGAAACCCTGAGTCTTTAGAACTGTATTATCTACCTGGGCCTTATAACCTGGACATTCCCGGGGGTAAATTATATCCAAGTAGAAATCTTCCTTCTCAGAACATACCCAGAAATAATGATTCTCTATTTTGAGTACTTTCTTGTGCAGTATACTAACCAGGTGCCTACTGCTATAAATTAATTTTTTTTCTTTTTCCTTTTTCTCTTTTTTGATGGAGTCTCGCTCTGTCACCCAGGCTGGAGTGCAGTGGCACGATCTCAGCTCTCTGCAGTCTCAACCTCCCGGGTTCAAGCGATTCTCCTGCCTCAGCTTCCTGAGTAGCTGGGATTACAGGCATGCGCCACCACGCCCAGCTAATTTTTGCGTTTTTGGTAGAGACAGGGTTTCACCATGTTGGCCAGGCTGGTCTTGAACTCCTGAGCCAGGTCCTCCACTCGCCTCAGCTTCCCAAAGAGCTGGGATTACAGGTAAGAGCCACTGTGCCCAGCACATTTTTTCTTTAATCTAAGTGTACACATTAATGCATAGGAAATCCCCACCTTTCCCCAACCCCCTAGTTTTTCTTTTCCTTTTTTTAAAAACTGGATTTTCTTTCATTCTTTCTCTTTCTGCTTCCCATCCCTTGCCCTCCCCAAGGAGTGTCGTAGGTACCCCCAGACCATTGCCTCAAAGCATTCAGGATAGTGCTCTGCTGATTTTTTAAAAAAAAATTTAAAATAACATTTCCTGCTTTTTCTAATTAGAAAAGCAACATGTTTATCATAGACAATTTGGAAAATACAGAAAAGCAAAGTGAAGAAAATAATTATCAAGGAAAACAATATACCTTTCTTTTAAGCCATCATTTTCTCTCCATCTTTGCAGTCACAAACTCCTTTGTTCCACTTTTTATGTCTTAGAGTAGCTGGGGGTTGGCACACAGATGGTTGGAAGTCCTTGGATCTCTCTGTCTCCCTGTGTTGTAAGAGTACAGAAATACAGCAGGCAGCTCTTTGGCTTTGTTTTGAAGCCCTGCAGAATGGGAGAATGCTCTGCATCACTGGAGGACATTTGACTGCATTAATCTCCCAAGAAGAGTGGTTGCTGGGAGGAATGAGCAGAAGGAGTGTTGTGTACTAGACTGTACAGGAGTCTTTCCTCCCAAGGCTTGGTCAGCTTTTGCCCTTGGACAGGGAAAGAGAATATCTGGGGATTTATATTTTCTACCAGAATTTGAGCCTTGTCACCTTGACTGTCCCCTTGTGTCCTTGGGTTTTTAAAATGGAACCTCTTTGTTGTAAAATGTTAGTTGTACAGTTGAATTTTTCAGAGTAGAATTGGGATCCAGAGTGAGAAACTTTCTCCCTGAAGGGGCTCCCTGGACTTTTGCTCTTGGTGAGTTGCTGGCAGATACTGACACTAGAAATAAGTGTCAGAGAGTTCTGATATCATTTCAGTTTCAGACTGACCCCGGAACACCCCTTGAGGACAGCAGTGTGTAAGCTCAAAAGAGATTGTCCTAATTTTGATGACCCTCAGAGTTAAGGCTTCTGGGGGAACTCTTCATTTTCGTAAAAACCCCTCTGTGGGTAGTCACTGTGTTGAGAGATGAAAATTTATGAGCCTTTACCGTTGAAGTTGTTTTTATGACATCATAATATGTGCTTCTACAACTGGATATTGGGCTTGGGAGTATAGACATTGTGGGGCCAGGAGCTTTGCAGACTTCCCTTATTCCCAATTTCTTGGATTTTTTTTCTGTCCCTTCATTCAGTTGATTTTAATGCCCTAGTATCTTTTCCTAGATCCCAGATCAAGAGATACTTTTATTCCTAATTCTCCCTCTGAAAATTCTGTGTCTTTCAGAACAAGACAGGGGAAAAGAGAAATGAGCTTATTAAAAACTATGATATCACAAGGTCAGGAGTCCAAGACCAGCCTAACTAACATGGTGAAACCTCGCCTCTACTAAAAATACAAAAATTATCTGGGCATGGTGGCATGTGCCTATAAATCCCAGCTACTCAGGAGGCTGAGGCAGGAGAATCGTTTGAACCCGGGAGGCTTAGGTTGCAGTGAGCTGAGATCGTGCCACTGCACTCCAGTCTGGGCGACAGAGCAAGACTCAGTCTCAAAAAAAAAAAAAAAAACTACGATGAGCTGGGCATGGTGGCTCCTCACGCCTGTAATCCTAGCACTTTGGGAGGCCAAGGCGGGAGGATCACTTGAGTGTAGGAGTTGAAGACCAACCTGGACAACATAGTGAGACCTCATCTCTACTAAAAATAAGAAATTAAAAATTCGCCGGGTGTGATGGCATTTGCCTTAGTCCCTGCTAATCCCTGAGGCTGGAGTGGAATGATTGCCTTACCCCAGGAGTTCAAGCTTGCAGTGAACTGTGATCATGCCACTGCACTCCAGCCTGGGTGACAGAGCAAGATCCTGTCTAAAACAAACAAAAAACTATGATGGTTAAAAAAAAAAAATCTTGGTGAACAACCTCTCTGGATTGTAATTTCTCAAAGAAAAATATGATGTAAAGATTATTTCTCTTGCTCTTCCTTCCAGGTATTTCATCAAAAAGCATAAATTCCTGAGCTTTGCTGGCAACCATATTACTTTTTCTCTCTTCCTCAGTCCCTGTACCTTTCCTCTTTGTCCATTCTGGAATTGTGGGGGTGATAAATGGATTCAAAAATGCCGTTAAGGGTGATCTTTAGGTAGGCACAGATTCTTTATGATATATCCCTAATTAGGAGCCTTTACAGGTTCTCCCCAAAGCCTCTTTGTGCAGGAATAGGAGCCTGCTGTGTTTTAGACTGGATGGGACTCTGACCAATTATTTTTTGTCTTTCCCCACAGGGCATCGTAGTAGGTGCTCAGTGAAGATGTGTTGGATTGAAGTGGTTTGAATTAAATATGATTTGTATGTAATTTTATATTCAAATAAAGTCTGTTCCTGGTCTGAGTTACTTTTCAAATTATATATTGTTACTCTGAAGATTGTCATTTCCTGAATTTTATTTCCTTTGTTCCTTTTCACCCACTTGCTTCCATTGTTCCAAATTTAGTCGTGTTGGAAGTGAGACTAGATAGGTGTGGAAATAACTGTCGAATTAAATTGTTCAGTCAGGGGAAGAGGGGGTAGATGGCTAAAGACATCAGAATCTTTTGTGTGGACAGAAAATGGAAACTGGTAGAGCAAAAAGGTCAAAAAGTATAAGGAATACCCTGGTTTGCTTTAAATCTCTATTTGCCTTAGAGCAGTCATCTGCAGTGTGGTGACCACAGGCTTTCTAATGTGTATGGGTTTAACTCCCTAGAGAGCAATATTCCTTTGGGGTGAGGAGAGTAGGGGGCAGATTCTTTCCTTCCAGGGGCCTTCTCATTACCTTCTTTTTAAATTTTTAAATTTTTAATTTTTTTTTTTTTTTTTTTTGATACGAAATCTCGCTCTGTCACAAGGCTGGAGTGCAGTGGCATGATCTCGGCTCACTGCAACCTCCGCCTCCCGGGTTCAAGTAATTCTTCTGCCTCAGCCTCCTGAGTAGCTGGGACTACAGGCGAGCATCGCCACACCCAGCTAATTTTTGTATTTTTGGTAGAGACGGGGCTTCACTACGTTTGCCAGGATGGTCTCGATCTCTTGACCTGGTGATCCGCCCTCCTCGGCCTCCCAAAGTGCTGGGATTACAAGTGTGAGCCACCGCGCCAGGCCCCATTGCCTTCTAATAGCCCTTTTCTCTTCTCTTTTAGCTCTTGGCACTTGAATTCCTATGACCATTCCCAACACCCCCACATGAAAGTGAGGTGAAAATGCCATCATCTTTCTGCCTATCCTGCTTTTAATCATCTTCCAATACAGCAGCAAGTGCAATTCTAGTCCCTTTCAACCCCTTCCATGTGGGTGTTAGACTGAATGTTTAACTTCTTTATGAAAATGCACATTAGCCATTCAGAAACTTAATCTCCTAATGATTTGTGTGTATTGGTAAAAAAGAAAAGCCATCATCTCTGACTGGTATACTCAGATGTTCCCTTTGGTACACTGATGGCAGGATTTCAGAAGTGAAGGACCATTTAATTTAATTTTGCAGATGGCAGGAGGTAAGCAGGAAAGCTTGGTCACAATATGCCCCCTCCTGGGAGAGTGGCTTCAGTAAATTCAGGTTGCTGAGAGCCTTAGATGTGAGAAATTTAACCCTCTGCCTTCTTTCCACTTCCCCTCCCTTATATAAAACTTGGTGTTTGTGTGTGTGTGTGTGTGTGTGTGTGTGTGTGTGTGTGTGTGTGTGTGTATAGGGTGGGGTAGGGGGTGGAGTTGAGGAAGGGTAGGAAGTTGGAGGGAAGATAATTGCCTGGGTTGAAAAGCCAGTGACTGATGTGAGATTACCTCATAGGGATGCTGCTTTGGGCATATGGATTATGACTAGATACAGATTAACCCATTCCTCTTTAATTGTTTTATGGCCTCATCCTTCTGAAATTGCCCCCTTGTAACCTGAAATCCTTTGGGGGGGTTTCCTTAGGCTGGGAACTCTGCTTGCTGTTGAGAAATAAACCTGCCTCTCTCCAGGGCACGAGTTCCACAGTGAAACTGAGGAGTAGATGGATGAGGAATCTTCTTTTGTTTTATTTTTAAGTGGTGCCCTTCCCACAGGGAAGCAAGCTCAGGATTCTGAATTTGTTAATTGCACAGCAGCTGGGTATTTGCTGCCTAGTCCTGTTGAAATTCCAGGATTGGATATCCAAGCTGTTGGCTTTTAAGATACATCCCCAAATGGTCATCTATCACTCTTTTTTTTTTTTTTTTAGACGAAGTTTCACTCCTATTGCCCAGACTGGAGTGCAATGGCGTGATCTAGGCTCACGGCAACCTCTGCCTCCCGGGTTCAAGCGATTCTCCTGTCTCAGCCTCCTGAGTAGCTGGGATTATAGGCATGTGCCACCACACCTGGCTAATTTTTGTATTTTTAGTAGAAACGGGATTTCTCCATGTTGGCCAGGCCATCCATCACTCTTTTCAGCCAGTAGTCACACCCAAAATTTTGGTGACTTTCACAGTCTGCTTATTGGATAAATTTGGTTTCAGATCTTGCCAAAATGAGGCGAAATTGTTTTTCTTCATGCTTCAGAGCCATGCTGCTCTATAAGGAAGTCTATATTAAATAGGTAAAGACATATTTCTTTATAAATCATTCTAGATGGTGGTATTCAGAAACTTGACAAAATTATCTTCCTAAAACTTGTTTGTTCCTGCTTACTAAAGGTTAATAGAAGTAGCTCCTGGATAAGTTGTGAACTTTTTAAAGTTTCTGTTTTTTTCTTAAATCCCTCCTGTCTTTGCTCTTTTCCCTTCCTTTGTGGTGGCTGCCAGTCCTGCTTTGCAGGTAACTTCTCCCTCATGAAAACAGAGGAGGATCTGATATCATTAATTTATCCTGATAGTTTGACCATTGTAATGTTGTCAGTGAACATTTGCATTTCAGTTGTTTATCTATGAGTAGAAGGCCCACTGGCTGGGAGTGGTGGCTCTTGCCTGTAATCCCAGCACTTTGGGATGCTGAGGCGGGCACATCACTTGAGGTCAGGAGTTCGAGACTAACCTGGCCAACTTGGTGAAAAATACTAAAAATAAAAAGTAAAAAAATTAGCTGGGCATGGCGGCGCACACGTGGTGTGCTACTTGGGAATCCCAGCTACTTGGGAAGCTGAGGCATGAGAATTGCTTGAACCAGGGAGTCAGGGTTTGCAGTGAGCTGAGATCATGCTACTGCACTCCAGCCTGGACGACAGAGTGAGACTGTCTCAAAAAAAAAAAAAAAAAAAGAGAAGAAAATAGAGTAGAACACCTTCTTTTTCTTTTAGTCACTACCAAGTGGGTGAAGAGATATTTATATCGTATGTTTTACAATTACTGATTGATTTATTCATTCACTCATCTGTGCAACAGGTATTTTTTGATTATCATGTATCAGACACTACTCTAGATGCTTTATTTCAGTCAGTACAATAAAGATCTCTCTGTGAGTTAACATTTCAGTGGAGGAAGAGGGAGACAAAGAATAAACATGATGAATATATAAATTGCTAGTATTTAGAAGGTAATAAGTACAGTAAGGAGCATCAAGAATGCTGGGTAGTCGTGAGGGGAGTTGCGTTTTTAAAATGTTTCTTCTTTCTTCTTCTTCTTCTTCTTTTTTTTTTTTTTTAAAGAGACAAGGTCTCTCTCTGTTGTCCAGGCTGGAGTACAGTGGCACCGTGATAGCTCATTGCAGCCTCCAACTCCTGGGCTCAAGGGATCCTCCTGCCTCAGCCTCCTGAAGTACTTGGGACCACAGTCACGTACCACTATGCCTGGCTAATATCTTAATTTTTAATTTTAATTTTTGTAGAGACAGGGTCTCATTTTGTTGCCCAGGCTGGTCTCAAACTCCTGGCTTCAAGCAATCCGCCCACCTCAGCTTCCTAAAGTACTGGGATTACAGGTGTGAGCTACCAGTACCTGGGCCAGGTTTCATTTTAAAATAAGGAGTAGGGAGCTTTAAATGAGGCCTCATGGAATAGGTCACATTTGTGCAAAGATTTAAAGGAGGTAAGAGTGTAACCTGCATGGA